CCCATCCACAGCAGTGGTGCCGCTGCCGGGCAGGCACTGCGCCAGCACCTGCACCACTTGCGCTGCGCTGGGCCGTGCAGCTGGGTCGCCTTGCAAGCAGCACTGGATCAGGGACACAACCTGCGCGGGGCAGTCCTGCGGCGCCCTGCACGCACACCGCAAAGCAGCAGCAACGACTCTCAGCACAGGGATTGCGAGCGTCACTCAAGACGGCTGCTCGCAAAACACACCTCAAGGGCCGTCCCTCGCCACGCCGCGCCAGCCGCTGGCCGGTGGCAATGCCGTGCAGCACCCAGCCCAGGCTAAACAGGTCGGCCTCCAAGCCGCAGGGCCCATGCACGAGCTGCTCGGGTGCGGCATACAGGGGCGTGCCACAGCCTGCACCAAGCAGAGGACATCAGCAACAGGGGCGAGCTACAGAACTAGCAACGCATTCCTCTCCCTTGTCAAACAGCCTACCTGACACCATGCTGTCTTGGCCCAGCATACGAGCCAGCCCCACATCTGCCAGCTTGGCAACCACGCCGCTGCCAGCGCTGCCGGGGGTGTCTGCCAGAAGCACATTCTGCAGTACCAAGCAGCAGCGATGTGGCATCCAGCAGCACACTGACAAAGTGGTGCTTGAGTGCACAAGCAAGCGAGCGCTGCCACAAGCCAACAGCCTCCGATGCTGCTGCTCCCACCCACCGCAGGCTTGATGTCCAGGTGGGCAATGGACAGCTGGTGAAGGAAGGCCACAGCACGTGCCACATCCAGTGCTGCCTGCCCTCCTTTCTCGTGCCAGCGCAGCGCTGGGGATGCCAGCCGCTCATGCAGGCTGCCCCCTTCCAGCAGCTCCGTCACCAGCATCAGCCGGGGAGGCTCTGAGCTGCTTCTGCTCTTGCTGCTGCGGCCTCTGCTGCTGCTGCTGCTGCTGCTGCTGTACACGCCAAGCAGCTGGACGATGTTGGGGTGGGTGCATCGCCGCAGCAGCTCAACCTCACGCCACAGTTTGGCTTCCTGCTCCTCCTGCTGCTGGCCGCTGGCTGTGTACGAGGCTGTGCCATCCAGCAGTGCCTGCCACACTACCGGCTGGTTCAACACTTTGATGGCAACAGGCCAATGGCCAAACAACAGGCCCTTGTACACCTGCAGACACACAGGCAGGCCGGCTTGGTGTCACAAGCACAAGCGAGCAGACACAGCAAATCGGTGCCCAGCACTGCACCTTGCTCGATGCGCCGCTGCCAAGCAGCTCGGGCCTGCCGGCGCCGTCCACCACTATGCTGAAGTCCTCTGGCCGCAGCCGCAGGCTGGTGCTCTGAAGACGCCACGACGCTGTGCCATCCGCTGCTGCCGCCGATGACGCTGCTGGCCGAGAGGCGGCGCCCCTGCTGTGAAGCACGCCACTAGGCAGCAACGGCGCAACGCCATCCCGCTCCTGCTGTAAACAATCGCCCTGGCCTGCCTCCACCTCTTCAGGTCGGTCCTTGCCACGCAAGCTCTGGTGCCCGGCGCCCTTCTTGCTGCCGCCCCATCGCCGCACACCCAGGGCCACTGCAAGGGCCGCCAGCGCTGTGGCAATAATGGCGCCTGCAGCCGCTTTCTGATGCCTTGCCCGCTGGCCGGCGGCCCTGCACAGAGGTAATTTTGCGCTGGCTGTGCCGGTGCATGCGCGCAATGGTGTGCCGCCTACGCGTCTGCCGCTGCTTGCGCCTGCGGCAGGACCCCTGCTGCTGTTTGTCGCTGGCTGGCCGGGAGGGCTGCCCTGCTTTGCACCTCCCCCTTCGGGGTAGCAGGCATCCGCAATGAACGGATCCCCGGCGCTGACCGCCCGCATGCGGTCAGCATCCTTTATGCAGAGGCCCGCATTTCCTGGCTGGACAAAGAACCTGTGCTGCAGCAGACAGGCACATGGAAGCGGCGGACGGCGGACAGCCTGGTGTCAGCAGCCAGCCATCCAGGCAGCAGCCACGCCACACTGAGAAGGATGCCTGGATGCAGCCCCGGGAGAGCAAGCGAACACGCATCTGCCAAGCACAGACACACAATGCGCCAGCGCATTCCACCAGCTGGGCAGGCTGGCAATGCACCTGGCAGCATGGCACGGGCCCCGACAGGGCGTTGTACCGAACGGCAATTTCCACTGTGACGCTGCCATCCCACGCGCTGGCAAGTGCGCCGCCAGCGCTGCTGCCCCAGGCCTCTGGAATGCGGCCGGTGAGGTTGTTGCTGCGCCCAGGACGCCATCGGATCAGCAGCGGTCAGCATAGGGGGGTGACTCAAGCGATGCATGCACTGCCGCCGTCCATGAGATGCGGTTGGCGGCAAGCGCGGGCCCACAGCTCACTAGTCTAAATTCAAGTTGGCCAGGCGTGGCATGTGAGCAGCCCAGTCGGCAGGCAGCGTGCCCTGCAGGCTGCAATTGTCCAGCGTTAGCCGTGACAAGACTGGCAGCACTACCAGGTCTTGCATGGAGGGAGGCGGGCGCAGGCTTCCGGCGCCGCTATAATCTGAGCCGGAGATGTTGGGGGCCGGTGGAGGTGACATGGAGGGTAGTGTGCCGCCCAGAGGGTTCCAAGCGACATCGAGCTCATACAGGCTGCATGCAATGGCAGGACACAGCCTCAGGCGCAGGCTTCCAAGGCAGCATCAAAGCATCACGAGCTCAATTAACAGCAGCAATCAGGGTCCTGCACCCCACCTGGACCAGTCACCCGGCGACAGCCACTCCTCAGGCAGCGGCCCTCGGAGATCATTCCAGTAGAGAGAAAGGGTCTGCAAACGGAACAACGCCAGGACCAGCAGGTGAAAAGGGGAGTCCCTGCTGTGCATTTAGTCAATTGCCACAACACAGCACAGCAAGAAAAAATGAGCACGCTCTTGCCTGGAGATTTGGAAAGGCGGCTGGCAGCCAGGGCGGCAGCGTGCCTGTCAGCCGGTTTGACTTCAGCACCAGGTAGTTGACTGGCCACTGCTGTGGCACGCCGCTGACGCCGCTGCTGGCGCTCCCCAGGCCGGACCAGCTGGGCGGAATGCTGCCAGTCAGCTGATTCTTAGAGAAATCCAGCTGACGCAAGCGGCTGCACGCATGGGTGTGCATGGGGATCACATCCTGCTGAAGGAAACCTCAAAACGAGCTTTACAGCAGTAGAGGCCTTGCTGCCATCCCACCTGAGCAGCCCGCCAGGTGATGCCCACTCTGCCGGCAGGCTAGCGGTGAGGCCCAAATCTTGCAGCGCAAGGTCTCCCAGGCCCTTTAACCGGCTGAGTGGAGCTGCCAGGGACTGCAGCGAGGCGGAGAGCTTGGGTACGCAGCCCTCCGAGCCTGCATCCAAGCAGTAGATAGTAAGGGGGAGGAAGGAGGCACAGGAAAGGGTCAATAAGGCGTTGTGTTCCTGAGAACCTGCCCCGCGCTGCGATGCAACCGACAAGGAGCCCGCAGTAGCGGGCGCTGTTGGCGAAGCTGCTGGCCAGATGCCAGAGTGGCGCACCGGAATCTTTAAACTCAACAGTGTCCGCGCAACGGCTCAGCTTGTACAACTCGTAGCGGCCAAGGACCCTGCACCACGTCACATGCCCCAGGAGGCGGGCCGTTAGCCGGGCTGCAGCCGACAGGCCAGGCGGAGGGGTGTGTCAGTCAGTTGGGCAAGGAGGCTTGACGGGCATGAGTGCCTCACAGCTTCATGACGCGCCCCTGTGAGTCGCACGCCTTCACAAAGCTCCAGGTGCACGGGTCGGCCTCGATGGTGCTGTTGCTGCCGCTGCCCCAGCCGCGAAGCTGGATGCCATACTCCCCCAGCCTGTCCCATCCAGTGATTGCCGCTTTAAAATCCAGGAGAGCCGCCACTGCAGGACGTGGCACAGCAGTCGGCTGTGCTTAGAACGGCTGTCGCCGTGGCGGCACCAGGGCGGGACCCACCCCTGGGGACGGAGTGAAACCCGTCCCCTGCGGCGCGCACCTTCCTCCGGGTGCGGCGCTGCGCTGTCCTGGGCGGCATAAGCCCGTAAGTGGGCTGCTAGGGCCGCCAGCTGCACCAGAGCTCGAAGGGTAGCCCAGCCCTGGCCCACGGCAAGGCGGCCGGTCATTTTGGGAACCAATGCAGGTCGTACATGGTCGTCAGAGTGCCGGCACCGAGACGGGGCCCTCAAAACGGGGTGCCACGTTGACGGCGGCGCCAATCAGGCGAGCCAGCAAAATACCTCTAGTGCGCACGCTGTAGTGCACTTCTCCAGGTTCAACCAGAAGCGTTTGACAGCTGTTGATACCACAATATGAAACAATCATGACAGGCGGAGCAGGTCTAGTGAGGTTGCCGCCTCCTGAGGTCGGCCGCTTTGGGACTGGCACTGCGCCAGCACCTGCACCACTTGCGCTGCGCTGGGCCGTGCAGCTGGGTCGCCTTGCAAGCAGCACTGGATCAGGGACACAACCTGCGCGGGGCAGTCCTGCGGCGCCCTGCACGCACACCGCAAAGCAGCAGCAACGACTCTCAGCACAGGGATTGCGAGCGTCACTCAAGACGGCTGCTCGCAAAACACACCTCAAGGGCCGTCCCTCGCCACGCCGCGCCAGCCGCTGGCCGGTGGCAATGCCGTGCAGCACCCAGCCCAGGCTAAACAGGTCGGCCTCCAAGCCGCAGGGCCCATGCACGAGCTGCTCGGGTGCGGCATACAGGGGCGTGCCACAGCCTGCACCAAGCAGAGGACATCAGCAACAGGGGCGAGCTACAGAACTAGCAACGCATTCCTCTCCCTTGTCAAACAGCCTACCTGACACCATGCTGTCTTGGCCCAGCATACGAGCCAGCCCCACATCTGCCAGCTTGGCAACCACGCCGCTGCCAGCGCTGCCGGGGGTGTCTGCCAGAAGCACATTCTGCAGTACCAAGCAGCAGCGATGTGGCATCCAGCAGCACACTGACAAAGTGGTGCTTGAGTGCACAAGCAAGCGAGCGCTGCCACAAGCCAACAGCCTCCGATGCTGCTGCTCCCACCCACCGCAGGCTTGATGTCCAGGTGGGCAATGGACAGCTGGTGAAGGAAGGCCACAGCACGTGCCACATCCAGTGCTGCCTGCCCTCCTTTCTCGTGCCAGCGCAGCGCTGGGGATGCCAGCCGCTCATGCAGGCTGCCCCCTTCCAGCAGCTCCGTCACCAGCATCAGCCGGGGAGGCCCTGTGCTGCTTCTGCTGTTGCTGCTGCGGCCTCTGCTGCTGCTGCTGCTGCTGCTGCTGTACACGCCAAGCAGCTGGACTATGCTGGGGTGGGTGCATCGCCGCAGCAGCTCAACCTCACGCCACAGCTTAGCTTCCTGCTCCTCCTGCTGCTGGTCGCTGGCTGTGTACGAGGCTGTGCCATCCAGCAATGCCTGCCACACTACCGGCTGGTTCAACACTTTGATGGCAACAGGCCACTGGCCAAACAACAGGCCCTTGTACACCTGCAGACACACAGGCAGGCCGGGTTGGGTTGGTGTCAAAAGCACAAACGAGCAGATGGAGCAAATCAGTGCCCAGCACCGCACCTTGCTCGATGCGCCGCTGCCAAGCAGCTCGGGCCTGCCGGCGCCGTCCACCACTATGCTGAAATCCTCTGGCCGCAGCCGCAGGCTGGTGCTCTGAAGACGCCACGACACGGTGGCATCCGCTGCCGCCGACGTCGACGCTGCTGGCCGAGAGGTGGCGCCCCTGCTGTGAAGCACGCCGCCAGGCAGCAACGGCGCAACATCATTCAGCTCCTGCTGTACGCCATCACCCTCGCCTGCCTCCACCTCTTCAGCTCGGTCCTTGCCACGCAAGCTCTGGTGCCCGGCGCCCTTCTTGCTGCCGCCCCATCGCCGCACACCCAGGGCCACTGCAAGGGCCGCCAGCGCTGTGGCAATAGTGGCGCCAGCCAGTTTGGCGGTGTGGTGCAGCCGCCGTCTCCAGATGGGGCCACAGAGCGGCAGGTCAAAAGGCTGCGTACCACATATGGCATCGTTTTCCTCAGCCCGCTGCTGCCATCCTGTGCCAAGCGCCTGCCGCTGCCGTCCGCCGCCGCTGCAACCATGCCATGGCTGCCTCCAGGCTTGGGAGCCATCACTGTGCAGTTGGTTTCAAAGTATGCATTCAATTCGCCATGTGCTCTATTGCGCCTGGGACCCCTTGTTGGCATGCAAAGGCCATCGTTCCCGGGGTGGATCGTCAGGGTGAACTGGCAAGGGGGCGGGAGGCAGCAGAATAGG